GCCAATCCCGGGAAATCGCAATTACCGCAAACGCGACGAACGGCTCCGACTACTTACTCGGAATTTACCCGCGACCCGTAATCGCCGTGGACCAATCCCTTACTCGCGCCGAAATCCAAACATTGCTCGCAGGTCAATACCACCGATCCGTTCAGAAATTCCCGGTGAGCTTGGGATCTTTAAATTGCAGTACACTGCTGATGCAACTGCTTTAAAAAAAATAAAGTACGAATTTGTTGTTTTTTAGATTGGGTTGCTCATCAGGCTTGATTGCTTCACATGTTCATTCGTCAAAAATTGTTATTGTATGTAATTGTAATTTACCCCGGGAAAGTTGAATAACTTATTAGAAATGAAATATAAAAATACTTTACTTTGTGTCAAAACATTTTTTAAAAAATCGAAATAAAGGGATTCCTTTCACTCGATGGTAGATGAATCGCCAAAATATAACATACGAAATCTATAAAAATTCCATCTCAATGTCCTCAATGAATGCATGTAATCACAAATGTTAACCATTCGTTTAATTTATCTAATTTCTGCTAAGCCACAGTTACCCCCCGTTGCCCCGACCAACCAGAAGGGTCAAATCTCCCTCTGGTATGGTAGTGTAAGCGTTACCCAAGGGAATATTAATTAACCTCCTCCTACGCGTTGCAAAAACAAGATTACAACGCAACGGAAATCCCCCAACTACAACAAAAAAAACAAAAAATTGTTAGTAATCTTCGCGTGCCGACACATTTGCGGGATTCCATCTGGCTGCTTCGCCACAACGCCGCCGCTACAGTTCATTTACTCCGTTCTGCTCCACACCACCCAGCATCGTAAAAAACAAAACTCTTCTTTGATTAATGAAGACCGCGGTGCAGTATTTAAACCCGAAGAAAACGTTGCTTCAACAATGTTGGAATTAAGACTTCGCGTCAAGTTTTCACAGAAAATTTAGTAAACCAGTTAATAAACTTTCGTCTTTTTCTCTTATTTTTTTTAGCTTCTTCTTTCTTCTCTTAACCTTATTCTTCTCATTCACCTTTCATTTCCTCTTCTTGTTCCTTATTTTCCTTCCTCGTTTAATTTCTTTTCTCTGAATTGCCCTTCTTCTTGTTCATTCTGTTCCGTCTTAAGCGTCCTTTTCTACTTCTTTCGGTGAACAAGGGTTGGTATTTTAATTCTTAGTTATTTTCAATTTGCATGTGTTTTCTACAACTAGATCTACAGGAAATAAGAAGCGCGCGGTTGGATTTTCCAATCGACCTTACGATTGCAATTAGGCGTTGAGAACGGTTTATATTTAATATTTACTTAAAAGCATTTGTTTGAAATCCAATTGCAAATCCCAAGACTTACGTTACTCTTCACAAACCTAAATTCATTCTAAACAACCTGACAGTTAGTGGGTATAAAATTTTAACACTAAGTATTTACACATCACGACGGAGGGCTTTAAGAGTAGTGTCCCGCTGTAAAGAAGTATTTTCATCCCTAGGGGAGTGAACGACAATGGCAGATTCACACACGTCCATTATTTCTATACCTCCTTACTCTTTCGTCCATTAGCGCGAATCATTCACTTGCTGCCCAGTAAAAACAAACTATTCATGGTAATTTCTTGTGAAATTCCTTTATAGAAATCACCCATTCTGTATTCCCGTGGTATAAGCGATCTTTGTGATTCTTTTGTCACTTATCTCAGCCATTTCAATTTATTTCTCGTGTGACTATATATAAAGGTTGAAGTGACAAGATTATTTCCCACAATGAGACATTATATTTAAATTCTATACTTTTTTTGTAGATTACCAATTATATATCTACTATATTTATAGATTTTAATATTGGAATAAAGTCTGGTCTTCCACATTCTTGCTTTGTTTATTGATTCATTTCAACTAATGCAATTTCATATTGTCCACCGCTTTCCAGGGTGTGGTGATTAACTCTTTCATTAAAAAGATTTTGCCATAGCAAAACTTAGATTACTCTTAATTAAATGCAAAATGTTCAATAATGTGACCATTAATGTTTCATGTGCTGCGGGCGTTTTTACACAAAGATTTATTTTGGCAGAATGTTACTTGTTATCGCTAAAGTGGTCACATTATCAATTCTTCTGGGTCTCTTTTTCTTTTCCCCAATTTGTTTACTTTTTCAACTTAGATCAGCGAGAGTTTGCACCACTCTCCCGCTACCATTTGGAGCAAACTTCCTCATCTTGGACGTTTATCGAAGCAACCCAGATAAATCGACGGAGGAAATTGTCGTACTCCGTTATTTCCATAACGTGACGTTGGATTTCGCCCGCGCACGGTCACAAGCCGCCGGGCGCTTTTAGCGTTTACACTTCACGTTTCAAACGTTGAAAGGTATCGTTTAGGCTCATAACCTATCTCGGTTTTGATACTTTAGCTTAACTTTACGCTGTCTGGGACTCTATGGCAGACAAAATGTCTACAGTTTTCACGAAGGTCGAGGGAGTAACGCGGATGGCCTTTTCGAAAGGCAGCCCCTTCGGGAATTTTGCCCAATCCCGGATGCGTCTTTGGACCCTGTCATATTATCTATGGCCTATTCACCATCCTTTCTTTTAACTCCTTCAGCTTTATCTCTCT